GAAGCCCTGAACCGCCGGACTTGCCTGCCCTCACTCATGGAACACAGAGGAGGAGGGAGAGGGGAGGAGCAGCCAGGATCAACCACACTTCATCATTATTTGAAATTGTCTTTTAGAGTAGGAACTAGACTTTAGAGATGCCGGGTGGTAATTATATGAGGAGAGAGGAAGAAAGGGAGGGAGAGAGGGGAGGGAGGGGGAGAAAAAGGGAGAGAAAGAGAGAGAGAGGAACTGGAGAGAGAGATTTCTTTAGAAAAGTGGGGGTCTTTTCATACTGAAAATTATTTTTATACAAAGAGAGAACAGGAGCTGGAGAGATGGCTCAGCGGTTAAGAGCACTGACTGCTCTCCCAGAGGTCCTGAGTTCAATTCCCAGCAACCACATGGTGGCTCACAACCATCTGTGATGAGATCTGGTGCCCTCTTCTGTCATTCAGGAAGATATGCAGACTGTATATGTAATAAATAAATCTTAAAAATAAATCAAATAAATCTTAAAAAAAAAAAGAAACTAATCAAAACCGGGAAAGGCTAGTCAAAGGCTTGGTTCGTAGCTGTTGGTCAGCAGAGGGGACCCACTTTGTTGTCTAGCTGTTCAGTTTGTGAGGCCTCCCAAACCCAGTCCCCGATCTGTCTTTGCCCCTAAGAGTTCACTCCACCCCGACTCATTCTTAGTGTTCTTCCCCCTGGACCCTTCACTGTCCCCAGAGTAGTCCCTGCCCACCCTGAGGCTAGACCACAGCCTGCTCCTTCTCCTGCCTGGGATACCCTTCTGCTCGTGTCTGCTCTAGGTCCTGTGGGAGGTGCCACAGATTGAGACTTTAACACCAACAGGAAGGCCAGGCAGGGCCATCCTATCCGGAAGGGTTAGCGGGAAGAGATGCACAGAAATCGCAAAGCAAAAGACATGTTGAAAACCTCCCAACAGTTCCAAATATTTGCAAAGGGCCCTGGTCCTCGGAATCTGGCACTATAAAGAGATTGCTGACATTCTCGACATACACAAATCTTCTAAAAGGGTCCTTTGCAGAAGGATCGCTGATGATTTAGGGTTTGTTGAAATAGTTCAGATAAATATTTATGTACAGCCATAAGCAAATCTACGAGGAAAAATATAACGCAAAACAGATTTTTCCTTGAAGCCCTTTCAGCTGGTGATAAGATTCCTAGCTTCAAAGGTTTGGGAAATAAATGTAACCAATTAATAGCTTAAACATCTTGGGAGCCTAAGAAGACTCTCACAATCAGCGAAGCTCTGAAGGTTACATGTGGGCATGCATACTAGCCGCATCCTGGCCCCATGGGCAAGGGGGAGTCCAGGGCCTGAAGTCAACCTGGGATTTACCCCTGAGATCAGAACAAGAAACACAAATGAAGCTTGGCATCCAGGTTAGAGTAGAGAGTTAGCATCTGTCAAAGGCGCCGAAGCTTTGGAAATCTCAATGTTTGTCTTGGACTATAATCCTAGTGCTGCTCCAGAGAGGCCTAGCCCCTTCCCACATCAGCTTTAAGTGCTACTGTTACGACGACGACGACGACGACGACGACGGCTGCCCCCATTTCTGTCACCACGACCAATGACTCAACAGCCTTCCTTGTTGTGCCTAGCGCCCGGCTTGCTCCTTCACAGAGATGTTTCTCAAGCTTTCCCAGCTGCCTCTCCTTCTGCACTCCAAGATTCTGAAGGTCAGAGGAAGTGACTGAGGTAAGATTTGAACCCATGGCTGCTACTCAGATAAGGTAGCACGTAGACAGTGTCTACCGTGTCATAGACACCTCCTAAGAAGACCACCACTGCTTACCCCCTTCTCTCCAAGCCACTGTTTCCCCTCTTGATCCATCACCATCCAGTGCATGGGGCCAGAATGTGGCTGGGAAATCTGCCGGGGGATTTATTGTCTTTAGTCCTCTGAGGGCTGCCACGTCGTCCCACAACGGACTCACTACACAGAGTGGTTGTCAAGCCATGTGGCATTCTGTACTACACAGGCCACATGAAAATCTGGCCCACGGTTGGCCCTGCTGACTGGGAGGCTGCTGCTCTGGCTTGTCAGTCCCGAGGTCAGGCCAATTGGCTCCAGCCCCGGAGCTACAAGGGTGACACATAGAAGAGGCATGCGCCCGTCTCCCCGTCTCGTGAGGTGCCAGCTCTCCTCGAGATGCCTGAATCACGAAGGTTCCAGTCACTCTGAAGTGTCCACAGCGAGGCAGCTTCTCTGGGGTGTGTTACAGCTGCCAGGCAGAACTCCTCTGCAGCCTCCCCATCTGTGCCCTCCCCATCTGTGCCCTCCACATCTGTGCCCTCCACATCCGTGCCCTCCATATCTGTGCCCTCCACATCCGTGCCCTCCACATCCGTGCCCTCCACATCTGTGCCCTCCACATCTGTGCCCTCCACATCTGTGCCCTCCACATCCGTGCCCTCCACATCCGTGCCCTCCACATCCGTGCCCTCCACATCCGTGCCCTCACCTCCTTCCTATGGGTCCCTCTTATATAGCAGGCTGCCTGCAGTGGGAAACGGAACACAAAAAGCTTTGCTACAAGCAGGCCAGATTAAATCAAGGGGTGCTTCCCAGACTCACCATGGAGGGTTACCATCATCTCAGCAAGGCCTACAACCCAGAATTACTAGTCTTCTCATTCTGTCCTTCACTGTACACTGCCACCGGGTCACACAGAAAATGGAGCTGACCGACTGCCTCCCACTCTCAGGCCAAGTCTGGCTTCTCTCCTGCTGAACTGACTACTTCGTTACACAGAGGTGGGAGCATCTTCACCATGAGGCCCTAGACTAGGAACTTGGTGCTGGAATGTTCTCTACCAACCTAAGGGTGACAGTTTTACGTCAATCATGATATATTCCTTAGCTGGTTGTGATTTAAGATTAAAGCCATGACAAGCAAAGACACAACACAGAACAAAAAAAAGCCCTGTAGTAGTCATTTGGCATCTGGAGCCTAGGGAAGCAGCAGAATTTACCAGTGGAGAGTGTGGATGCTGGTGTAGACGGCCTCCGTTCAAATTCTGACTCTGTTGTAAGGGACACTGTCAATAATTTATAACCTCTAAATGTTAGAAATGCTAGAATATGTGCTCTTCTTTGCTTCAGCCGTTTCCTGTCTGTAAAACAGTTAGCCAGAAGGATGTAAACAAGTATTAGCTGCTGTTGCTACTGGAGACAGAGGTTCTGGACTCAGAACTCAGACTTGCCCCAACTCAGTTCTGCACGACACTGTGTGACCCACACCCCCTGATGGAGGACAGACAGCCTGTAAGAAATACGATAAAGCCAACCCAGAACTTTAATTTTTTCCTTTCTTTTCATTCATTAATCTCTTCTGTTTAATTTTTGTAGAGCCAGGGATCGAACCCAGATCTGACGTGTACGAAGCCAGCACACGCGCACATCCGCAGCTCTGACATCTGAGTCAGCATTTGATGGCCAGCTACCTTAGCTGTCACCAGGCTCAGTTTCCCCATCTATAACAGAACGATAATGACTAGTGTATCAGCTATGTGAAATACATATGGGAAGAGACCCACCCGGCGCTGAGCATTGTGGGTCTGCAGAGATGGCTCCACACATCCCGGCTGTCATCCTCTGACTCCTCCTACAAACTCCTCCTGGTTCTCTCTGTCCTCCTTTCCTCATTGAAGGGAACTGTGTGTCAGCCTTTTCTGTGGGCTGAACACTTCAGTCTGTTTTACCAGCTTTGTTTTTGTTTTTGTTTTTTAGCACAAACTTCATTCTAGTTAGTTCTTTCCTTTTTCATTGTGCCTTCCTGCCTGCAACTGTATCCTCGTCCTGATAACCTACGTAATGCAGCCTGGGAACCTCTCCGGGGGAAAAGAATGTCAGAAGCTTGCCCCAAGGAGCGGGATGGGAAGGTTCTGAGGTCTCTAGGGCTAAGAATCTCGGTCTCTTCAGATGTGGTTAGTGCAGGTGTCCGCTGAAACAGCACACCACAGCACTGGGCAGGCTCTGCTGCAGTCTCCCCCAGTTACCTCTGACAAATGTGCGGGCAGCAGGAAGTTACTTTTTTTTTCTTTTGCCTGTGTCTAGGGTTTTTCACCTTTAATGCTATTGGCATTTTATGTTGGACAATGAATGCTCTGGGAGGCTGTGCTGCTTTCTGTAGGCTACGTAGCCAAATAGTGCTGGCTCCTCCTCCCAGGGTCTAGTAGCTATCATGACAGTCCCTCTACACTGTGACAACCAAAAATGTCTTTTGTTACTGCCAACTGCCCAGTGATGTTGGTACTGTGTTGCCTCCAGTTGAAAACCACTATTTTAACCCAAAGAGACCAATTATAGTCTTTACCATGACGAGAACTCAAACAGACTAGAGGCTGGAGAGATGACTCAGCAGTCAAAAGCACTTGCTGCTCTTCCAGAGGACCTGGGTTCAGTTCCCAGCACCCACATGGCAACTGACAACTGTCTGTGATTCTAGTCCTGGGGCTAATGCCCTCTTCTGGCCTCCAGGGGCACTGCATGCATATGGTACACAAATACATGCAGGTGAAACATCAATACACATAAATATAACTAAAGAATCTTTTTTAAAAATCTAGATTTACGTTCAGGTTGTCCTTATGAAATGAAGACTTTGTTCTATAGAATGATGACTTATAACTTTGGGGATTCTGAAAGAAACACATTTTGGCTCCATTCTTCCCAATTTACCATATTATCATAGTGGCAGGAACACTATGTGGTTCATGAAGAACCTGGGTCTACAAGAGAACTCATATGGGTAAGACTCACCTCTGTGGACTGAGGATGTAGCTCAGTTGGTAGAGTGCTTGCCTAATACGCATGAAGTTCTGGATTTTACCCCAGTACTGAATAAACCAGACATGGTGCATACTTATAATTCTCGCACTTGGGAGATAAAGTCAGGAGGATCAGAAGTTCAAGGTTGTCCTTGCCTATATACTGAATTCCAAGTCAGTCTGGGCTCCATGAGATACTATGAGAAAGAAAGTTAACTTACCGATCTGTGTCAGCTTTAGCAGAAAAGTTACTTGAGGTTTCTTCATGGCCAATGTTGGATTCTGCTTCGGAATCTGGACAGCTTTTCTTATCAGGAGAGGTCTGGAGAACTGAAAGTCAACAACCACAGAGTGCTCAGAGGTCAATGGGCAGGGTCGGAAGCAGGCAGGGCTGAGTTCTGTTGCTTGCCTGTGTTTTACAGCTCCGTTCTTCCAGTCCTGAGCCCCACCCCTGAACATCTGCAGACTTTTGGGCATGCCACTAAAACAGGCATGTTCTGGGATTCTAGGTCTTGCCCAGTGTCAAGTACGAGCTCACAGACGGGATAAAATAGCTAGTAGGAAAACAAGCTACTACTCTCTATTAGATCTATATGGTGGGTAGAGATTCCAGGCCCCGCAAGAGGTAGATTCCAACAGAAGCACCATGTGAGAGCTAGAAGAGCATTGTGCTGGACGTAGCTGAGCGACTCCTGGTTCTGGCTGTCAGAATATGGGTAGAATTAGCCGTAAAGACTCAATCATTCCAGAGGTGGCCCATTTCCACATTGTTCTGGAAGCCAGTTACCTGATGAGTTTCTTAACAGAGCAAACAACAAATACAGTTGTTCTCTCTATCCTGTGACAGCGGCAGCCGAGACTAATTATTCATGGGTGTCTTTTCCTCAGAAGCCCACTTCAGCTTCAGGTTTCTCAACACAGCGCTTCACGTTCTCAGGGTATGTCCCCAACCAGCGGCACAGCACCACCGTGACATTTTGAGGACTACGTGGGCCTGCAGAGCTGCTTGGATCACGCTCTCCATTTGACCCCGAACCTTGTTGAGGGGTGAAGCAACTCTTCCAGGTCAATAACTCTTAATGCTGGAGCTGCACTGGAACCACACGGGGATTTTAAACAGACCTGATCCCACCCTCAAGAGAGTCTACAGCTGAACCTGGGTTGGGACTGGCATCAGTTATGAAGAGATTCCCAGATAGTTTTAATACATAGCCAGGGTTGGAAAACCACAGTTCCTATTGGTAACTGTCAGTCAACGAGGGAAGTAGAGAGAGTCCACACCTACTTACTATCCTCATTTAGACAGTCCAGAAACAACCAAACCAAACCAAACCAAAACACAGCCAACAAAGATAGCCTATAAATGTGGCCATTGCATCATGTTAAGGTACACACCTAAGTTGCAAATTGTTATGATACCAGGTGTGATGGTGTACACCTTTAATCCCAGCACTCAGGAGGCAGAAGCAGGTGGATCTCGGCGAGTTCAAGGTCAGCCTGGTCTATGTAATGAGTTCCAGGACAGCCAGAGCTACATAGAGAAACCCTGTCTCAAAAAAAAAAAAAAAGCACACACAAAAAGAAAGAAGACTATTATGATGATAAGACACAGCATGACAGAAACAGAGTACAGAAGAAAGAAAGAAATATATTTTCAATTACTTTCCTCACGTCTGTTGGGGGGAAACTGCACTCAGTTTAGATTGCTAGCTTGCTTCCTTCAGAATAAATGTCTCTGGGCAGAACAAATGTAATTCTTTGAGTTATTTGTTGTGGAGAAAACCATCTGTTGTTGTTATTATTGCTATTATACAAATGCCAAAAGGATAAAGAGAGAAAATTTAATGGAACATTATTCCATTTTTATTATGACACATGAAGCATCATAACCAGTGCAAATGAAATGGGAAAAAAGAAGAAAGAAAGAAAAAAAAGAAAGAATGCAGAAATGAATGAAGAACTACAGCTCGAAGCCTTGTAGAATTCCATTAACGGGGTTCTTCCCTTGCCGCCTGCAATCTCTTGATTGATAAATTCCTCCAGTTGGGGTACCAGACACATCTCCCCTTCTTCAAGACTGTTTGGCTCAAACTCGCTTGTCATGCTGGGATAAATGTCACAAAAGCAAACAATTAACATGAAAAGAAAAAAGGAGAGCTTGTGCCTGGGCACAGAAAAATTTCTATCCTTCATTCTGAAGGAGAATTGCTTCAACCGGGCTGAGGACGCAGCCCAGTGGTCGGAGTGATTGCCCGGCAAGCATGAAGCTCCAGGTTTGAGCTTCAGCGTCCAGCAAGAGCGGGCTGGAGGCCCGTACCTGTGACCCCAGTGCTCAGGAGGGACAAACAGGTGGGTCAGAAGTTTGAAGTTGTTTTTTTTTTTTTCCAGCTACATAGCTGAATTCTTAGTTAGCTTGGAGTACATGAGATCTTGTCTCACAACACAGACACACACACACACCACCACCACCACCACCACCGACAACAACAACAACAACAACATAATAGGAAAGAAAAGAAGGGAGAGACAGGGAGGGAGGGAAGGAAAAAAATCTCAACAATGAACTTTGACCTTGTTTTGGGACCCAATTCAGGAGCACCAAGAGCTAGCCAAACAACATTGCCTGTGTGGAGAGCTGGGGTGGCTGACTAACATCTGTATCTATTTTGAAACCTTAATTTTAAAAAAGGAACAATAAGTTTAATAGCAACCCCCAAAGGCAAAAATCACAAAGAAAGGTCATGAAGACAGCAAGGCCCACGACCAGGACCAGGAACAGCAGCCATGGCTTGCCCACGACCAGGACCAGGAACAGCAGCCGTGGCTTGCCCACGACCAGGACCAGGACAGCAGCCGTGGCTTCCCCAGGAGCTCAGCACAGGCCTGGTTACTCTCTTGCTTTGCCATAGAAACTCGCAGAATTTCTCTTCATGTAATTGAAGGGGAAACTCATTCCATGTTTCTTATTCATTTACACTTCAGTCATCAAAATATTGATTCGAAGAGTTATTTGAAGTATAAAAACCAAACAGAAAACTTAGAAAATATTCCTAGTAAAGCTTAGATGAAGTCTGCACCTCCATCCCCAGTGTGGCCTGAGGAACAGGGAGAGAGATCGGTCCATCTAAGGAGATGAGGAAGTCAAGATGATCAATTTCTTGAGTTCAAAGAGGACCCCAAGTTGGTAAGTATTTAAGGGCATTCTGATGCAAGTTGGAATCACCTGGAAGCTCTCTGGCACACGGATCCTCAAACAAGGAGATGGGAGAAACAGAAACAGAAATGAGGAGAGAGAGAGACAGAGACAGAGACAGACAGAGACAGAGAGACAGAGAAACAGAGAGACAGAGAGAGAGTCACCTGTTTTAGGTGAACAGGTCAGGTAAAATAATTAGACCAGCGATGTAATGGGAAATAAAATTATGAATGTGAGCAACAGAAATGTCCAGCAAACACTGAACTTGGGACAGTGCCCTGAGGGTGGCAGATGCGTCTCCAGGCACGGGTCACTGACTGGTTCTGGCTTAGTGAAATAAGGCAGTCCTAAATCAGACAGTGCCCTGTGAGCTCTGCATGTTTCCTGGGAAATCTGAATGTCGACTAGAGCATCTTGAAATAAAATGGGAAGGCATTTGGGATTAGAGCTGGGCGTTTGTGTTGGCCAGCCTTGTCAACTTGTTATAACTCAGAGTCTCTTAGGAAGACTGTCTCTGGGGGCACTGTCTAGATCAGTTTGTTCTGGGAGCGTGTCTGCCGAGACTGTCTTGATGGCCTTCAGTGGCGTGAGAAGGCCCAGCCTGAGAGTGGGCAGGCCCACTCCTCGGTTCTAAGGGCTCACTGAGCCCATGCACGCATTCTTTCTGTCTCTGCCTGGGGCGATGGATGTGATGTGACCAGCTGTCTCAAGCTCCTGCCGATGCGACTTCCCCGAGGCGATGGACTGAAACCTGGAAGTGGGGCCTAACATAACCTTTTCTCTCTCGGGTTGCTTTTTGTCCCGATGTTTTATCACAGCCAGGAAGCTAGGGCAGAGCTGCACCCTCAGAGGGCTTCGGGGCCAGGAGACCCAGACGTGTGAGGGGCTAAGCAGAGGGAGCTACTGAGTGGTGACCGTTGCAGTGACCAGAGTGCGTTCCTCTTAAAGACAAAGCAGTAACACATGTTCAAAGGCACTAAAGGAGAGGCACGGACCACGGAGTGCCAGCAAGTGTATGAAACACACACACACACACACACACACACACACACACACACACACACACGGGGGGG